CCTCCCAAAAGAGCCGGCATCTTTGGTTGAGTCCATATAGTCTCCCCCAAGAGTTTACCAATACATTTGACACAACAGATTTCACAATCCTTATTATCTGTGAATCTGTTAATCTGAATCTGCATAAACAACCAGAAATCCTGTGGCACCTTATAGACTAACTGATTTATTGGAGCACAAGCTTTCGTGGGCAAAAGATGAAAAGTGGGCAAAATGGGTCTTTTGCCCACGAAAGCTTGTGCTCCAATAAATCAGTTAGTCTATAAGCTGCCACAGGACTTCTCCTTATTAGCCCATTTTCTGTGAGCGTGGCTTTTGGACCTCCCTCTCTGGTCTATCAATTTGGTTTTGGTCATTGTGATTGTATTAAAATGAAATGAGTACACTAGTAGGAAACTGTTTTATTTCACTAACTACAAATTTTCAGTTTTCATTTTTAAATAATTTTAAACAGTAAAAAAAAAATTAGAAAGTGCAAATGTGTAAAAGCCAACAAAAAAAGGGGGCAGCCAAAAAAAGTTTTGCTTGGGGTGGCAAGAAACCTAGAGCTGGCTCTGGCACAAACTGGCCCCACAATCGCTATTCCCTTCTCTGCACTGACAGGTCCGATTGCAAACTCTCTGAGTGGGAGGGCCGCACAGGGGAGCAGCTCAAACATGCCAAGGGGCGGGCCAGGGGTAGAACAGGAGCCCTGCAAGGCAGCGGTGGTGTGGCAGTGACATCACAAGGGACTTTTGCAGCGCCTCACCTGATTGGTTAAAGAAAGCTTGTCAGACAGTGACCTGCCATGTCAGTGGCCCATTGGGCCTTTGGGATCCCACAAACAAGAGACTTTATGATCACACATGTGGGCTCAAGGAGGAGATTTCACCTTCGCTAACTAAGTGGTTTAAGGCAGTTGTGTGTGTCACAGGAGGGAGCTGTCACTCACCTGACTGTAACCGTCCCATGAGCATTTCTAGGATATATTTGAGTTTCTTTTCTTGCTGTAGGGATGTAAAGGGGACACGCCTTTAAGGTTCCTCACTAGGGCAGCTGGCAGCGTTCAGGCCTCCACATCCCACCATCCCAGCTCAGATCTCCACGGGCACCTCCTGGTGCTGCGTTAGCCTCAGGCAAATCCCAAAAGCTCTGGTTGTGCTGCTCCCCACCCCCTCCCTGTGCCACAATGAGAAGGGGCGACTCGCGCCCCTCAGAGCGGGGTCTCTGGCCCAGCTGGCGCGAGGGGAGAGGCACAAGGGCTGGTGCCCTGGACCTAAATGCTCTGCCTAGAGATCCCCAGAGTCCCGATGCTTATGTGAGCTGGATCGCGGGGGCAGCCCTCCCTGGAAATGCCCTTTCTCCCAGTCTGGAGAGGCTGCTAGCTCGGTGGGTTCTCTGGCTCCCAATCAGCGCCGGGGCTGGAGCAGGGAGAAGGGATCTAACCCCCCTGCTCACAGGTACAAACTGCCCTTCTGACCCCAATGAGGCAGCACGTGACCAGGCTGGGCTCTCCCGCCCACCGCTGCCCCCACCCAGCCCTGCGGCGTGTGAACCTGAAGGTTGATTATCAAGGGGGGAAAGACCAAACAGGGGCCGTTCCATGGTGCGTCATGTGCCTCCAGAGACTCCAACATCCATCGGATTCCAGGCCGGGCACCAGGCCTGTGCTGTTCTCGTGCAGCTGGCCGGGTACTGCTGCTCCTGACCCGCAGGCTAGTGTCTTCTTGGGCCGGTCACGGGCAGCCTGCTGGGTTGGCTCTCGGCACAGAGCCGGCCAAAGGCACAGAGCACGCAACCGACCCCTGCACCTGTCTCTGAGCTCAGTCTCCCCAGCTCTTTTCATTTCGAGTAGCCACCAGTTCATGTCCCCTGCAGCCTCTTGGTACGTCCCTGGGGTATCAGCCATTGGTTCGATATATAATGGAGCAAGGGTTTGGAAAAGGTCCCTGAGTCCCCGTTGCTCCCAGGGCTGTGACTCTGCAAGCGCATGACAAGAAGCTCCCAGACGCGAGTGGAAATAGAACCTTCTGTTTGGTAGGCTTTGACTCTGGCCCTAACCCCGTCCATGCTGCAGCTATTCCATTTTCAACTAAGCAACCCAATGGGCCAGTATCTTGGAACCCTAAACTGAATACTGCACACAGATGTGGTCGCCTCATCACAAAAAAGATCTATTGGCATTGGAAAAGGTAAAGAAAAGGGCAAAAAATGAGGCAGGTTTTGGAACGGGTCCCATATGAGAAGAGATTAAAAAGATCTTCATCTTAGAAAAGAGGAGATTAAGGGGGATACACTAGAGGTCTATAAAATCATGAGTGGTGTTGGAAAAGCAAATAAGGAAAAGTTATTTACTTATTCCCAAAGTATAAGAGCTAGGGGTCACCAAATGAAATTAATAGTCAGCAGGATTAAAGGAAGAAAAGGAAGTTTTTCTTCATTCAGCACACAGTCAATCTCTGGAACTCCTTGCTAGAGGATGTGGTCAAGGCTAGGACTTCAACAGGGTTCAAAAAAGAGCTAGAGCGTGGCTTTTGGACCTCCCTCTCTGGTCTATCAATTTGGTTTTGGTCATTGTGATTGTATTAAAATGAAATGAGTACACTAGTAGGAAACTGTTTTATTTCACTAACTACAAATTTTCAGTTTTCATTTTTAAATAATTTTAAACAGTAAAAAAAAAATTAGAAAGTGCAAATGTGTAAAAGCCAACAAAAAAAGGGGGCAGCCAAAAAAAGTTTTGCTTGGGGTGGCAAGAAACCTAGAGCTGGCTCTGGCACAAACTGGCCCCACAATCGCTATTCCCTTCTCTGCACTGACAGGTCCGATTGCAAACTCTCTGAGTGGGAGGGCCGCACAGGGGAGCAGCTCAAACATGCCAAGGGGCGGGCCAGGGGTAGAACAGGAGCCCTGCAAGGCAGCGGTGGTGTGGCAGTGACATCACAAGGGACTTTTGCAGCGCCTCACCTGATTGGTTAAAGAAAGCTTGTCAGACAGTGACCTGCCATGTCAGTGGCCCATTGGGCCTTTGGGATCCCACAAACAAGAGACTTTATGATCACACATGTGGGCTCAAGGAGGAGATTTCACCTTCGCTAACTAAGTGGTTTAAGGCAGTTGTGTGTGTCACAGGAGGGAGCTGTCACTCACCTGACTGTAACCGTCCCATGAGCATTTCTAGGATATATTTGAGTTTCTTTTCTTGCTGTAGGGATGTAAAGGGGACACGCCTTTAAGGTTCCTCACTAGGGCAGCTGGCAGCGTTCAGGCCTCCACATCCCACCATCCCAGCTCAGATCTCCACGGGCACCTCCTGGTGCTGCGTTAGCCTCAGGCAAATCCCAAAAGCTCTGGTTGTGCTGCTCCCCACCCCCTCCCTGTGCCACAATGAGAAGGGGCGACTCGCGCCCCTCAGAGCGGGGTCTCTGGCCCAGCTGGCGCGAGGGGAGAGGCACAAGGGCTGGTGCCCTGGACCTAAATGCTCTGCCTAGAGATCCCCAGAGTCCCGATGCTTATGTGAGCTGGATCGCGGGGGCAGCCCTCCCTGGAAATGCCCTTTCTCCCAGTCTGGAGAGGCTGCTAGCTCGGTGGGTTCTCTGGCTCCCAATCAGCGCCGGGGCTGGAGCAGGGAGAAGGGATCTAACCCCCCTGCTCACAGGTACAAACTGCCCTTCTGACCCCAATGAGGCAGCACGTGACCAGGCTGGGCTCTCCCGCCCACCGCTGCCCCCACCCAGCCCTGCGGCGTGTGAACCTGAAGGTTGATTATCAAGGGGGGAAAGACCAAACAGGGGCCGTTCCATGGTGCGTCATGTGCCTCCAGAGACTCCAACATCCATCGGATTCCAGGCCGGGCACCAGGCCTGTGCTGTTCTCGTGCAGCTGGCCGGGTGCTGCTGCTCCTGACCCGCAGGCTAGTGTCTTCTTGGGCTGGTCACGGGCAACTTGCTGGGTTGGCTCTCGGCACAGAACTGGCCCAAGGCACAGAGCACGCAACCGACCCCTGCACCTGTCTCTGAGCTCAGTCTCCCCAGCTCTTTTCATTTCGAGTAGCCACAAGTTCATGTCCCCTGCAGCCTCTTGGTACGTCCCTGGGGTATCAGCCATTGGTTCGATATATAATGGAGCAAGGGTTTGGAAAAGGTCCCTGAGTCCCCGTTGCTCCCAGGGCTGTGACTCTGCAAGCGCATGACAAGAAGCTCCCAGACGCGAGTGGAAATAAAACCTTCTGTTTGGTTGGCTTTGACTCTGGCCCTACCCCCGCCCATGCTGCAGCTATTCCATTTTCTACTAAGCAACCCAATGGGCCAGTATCTTGGAACCCTAAACTGAATACTGCACACAGATGTGGTCGCCTCATCACAAAAAAGATCTATTGGCATTGGAAAAGGTAAAGAAAAGGGCAAAAAATGAGGCAGGTTTTGGAACGGGTCCCATATGAGAAGAGATTAAAAAGATCTTCATCTTAGAAAAGAGGAGATTAAGGGGGATACACTAGAGGTCTATAAAATCATGAGTGGTGTTGGAAAAGCAAATAAGGAAAAGTTATTTACTTATTCCCAAAGTATAAGAGCTAGGGGTCACCAAATGAAATTAATAGTCAGCAGGATTAAAGGAAGAAAAGGAAGTTTTTCTTCATTCAGCACACAGTCAATCTCTGGAACTCCTTGCTAGAGGATGTGGTCAAGGCTAGGACTTCAACAGGGTTCAAAAAAGAGCTAGGTAGGTTCTTGGAGGTTAGGTCCATGAATGGCTATTAGCCAGAATGGGTAGGAATGGTGTCCCTAGCCTCTGTTTGTCTGGGAATGGGTGAAAGGAGTGGGATCAGTGAGGATTACCTCTTGTGTACCCTCCCTCTGGGGCATCTGGTATTGACCACTGTTGGCAGACAGGATACTGGGCTAGATGGATATTTGGTCTAACCCAATGCGGGTGTTCTTAATTTCCTGCAAGCTTTGTACAGGGCCTCCTGGACCTCTCTGTTTCTCAGGGCGTAGATGAGTGGATTGACCAGGGGCGTCAGGACGGTGTAGGAGACAGAGAGAACTTTCTTGAAGTGGCTCAGGAGGTCGGTGGTTGGGAACATGCAGGCAATCAGGAGAGCTCCATAGTAAACACTCACCACAATGAGGTGGGAGGAGCAGGTGGAAAAGGCTTTTTGCCTCCCGGTGGTGGAGGGGATTCTGAGGATGGTCCTGAGGATGCAAATGTAAGAGGCCAAAGTGAGCAAGAAAGGGACCAGTGAGAAAATCAAGCACATTGAGAACGCCAACGTGTCCATCAGCAGAGGGTCATTGCAGGAGAGTTTTACAAGGGGAATAAAGTCACAAAAGAAATGGTCCATACCATTGGGGCCACAGAAGGTTAACTGGGATATTGGCACTGTCGTTATACTGCAAGCAAGCAAGCCACTTATCCAAGATCCCCCGGCAAGCTGTAGGCAAGACCTGCCACTCATCCGGGTGGTGTAGCACAGTGGGTTGCATATGGCTAGATACCGGTCGTAGGACATCACCAATAGAAGGAAACATTCTGTGGCCTGCAGCGCACAGAAGAAAGAATATTGTGTGAGACACCCAGTGAAGGAAATTGTCCTATCCCCAGTCAGTAGACCAGCCAGCAGCTGGGGCAGGAGAGTGGAGCTGTAGCAGATCTCCAAGCAGGACAAGTTGCCGAGGAAAAAGTACATGGGGGTGTGAAGGTGTCGATCAGCCACAACCAACACCACGACAAGGATGTTCCCAGCCATGGTCACCAGGTAGATCACGAGAAAGAGCAGGAAAAGAGGAACCTGTAGGCCAGGAAGATCCCCAAATCCCAGGAGGATGAATTCTGTGACAGATGTTTGGTTTCCTTGTCCCTGGGTTGCCATGGGGTGTGTCTGTGGGACAGAAACAGGGTCACTGGGAGCAATAACTATCATTCATTGCAAATATGGCAGCCTTTTCTTCATCGCCTCCCTCTGCCGGCCCTGGCACAGCAGTGGAGTGGGGAATGGAGATCAGGGAAGGGAATCACCATCTCTTGGTCCCGGGGGACAGGTTCCGTATCTGAGCAGAGTGCAGGTGAAACATACAGTGTCTCTGCACCCTGGGGTGTGTCCCGAGAGCTGGTTCCGGGCACTCAAACCCTGCAGCGCTAGACTCGAGCAGAGGGTACACCCTGACAGATGCGACAGACACTGGGTCAGACAGTCACCCCCGTCACTGTCTGGTGGCTAAACACCAAATGAGTGAGGGGCCGTTCCACTGGGAGCTGGGCCAGGAGGGGATATTTGACAGGAAGCCCCAGCAGAGAAACCAACCAAGCAAATGGACCTGGGACTTGTAAGGGCCTGTGTGAGGGGCTTTCCTTTGCCCTGGCCCTGGTTCTGCTCCTTTCTATAGAAAGCAGCAGGGCACATGTCTGGACAGCCCTCCCGAGACCAGAACAACAATGTCTCCAGGTCAGGCCTCGTCTTGGCCTTGTCCAAAGTATGGATCTCTAACAAAGCCAAGCCTAGGTCTGATTCAAGTCTGGTGCACGCACACACAGACACATGGAAACAAGGCCAGAAGAGGTGGGGGAGAGTCAGGAGTGCTTGCCCAATCAGGCATAACTTGTACTGGACAGCAAGACCAGGGCATTTTGGCCAGAAACAACCTGGTACTAGTACATCCCATTTTTGAGAAGAGAAAAATTCCAGAAACAGAGAAAAACTATTAATTAAGCACTTTTGCAATATTTTGGCACAGCAAAATGTATTCTAAATATTGGCATAATAGGTATCTTATGCAATATCCGGTTGATTGGTAGATATGACTAGAACAACCAAGTCTCCCTTTGCTATAAATTGGGTTTAGTAAGAAGAATCGATAGGAGGAAATACTCAGGATTGACCCACAGCTCCTGCTTTTGATGTCCCATCTAGTGGGACCAACACCACATACAGTGAGCAGGAGAGAATGATTTCGCTCTATAGCCTCAGCAGAGAGCCAGCTGGCTTTTCACTCATGCAGTAGAGCCTTATGCCCAGGTTCAGTTTTGCCTGTTGGTGCTACAGCAGCACCAAGCAGGAAGACAATATTCTGATGGTTATTCCCCAGGACCACTGACATTTTTTTTCAAAAACACTTTTCCTTAAGACTCATCCTAGAATATCTCACACAGAACACTTTCAAGTGCAGATGGTCCCCACTGTCGCTCGTGTGCTTTACACGGAACAATATTTTTCAGTATTTCAAGGTTCGGAAAACCTTACATGAAAATATGTTCACAATCCCATCATAGTAGATGTAAAGAATAAAATATGTTATCAGTGACAACAAGAAACCTATTTAATACAGTCACTACTGTGAGCTCAGTGACTCTGAAGCTTTTAATGATCCCAAATTTATTCTAAAAGATGTATTTTCATTGTATCAAAAATATACAATGTGTCAAAATGTCACTGCTATTCAGCTACCCCTCTCGGCTTGCCTTTCATTTCACTGCCCCAAAATTAGTTGCCAAACAAAGATCCAGTGTGCTCTCAGCAACACATAAACTGCACGATTGTACTGTAATGTCACCAGTCAACTAACAATTTGGATTTGAAATAGAGGATATCTTCAGGAAAGACATCCAGACTCAATTTAAAGACTTCATGTGACATCATATCTATCACCTCCCTAATCCCAACCCTAACCATAACCCAACTGTTAACACCTCTCACCATTTAAAACATGTACCTTACTTCTTGTTTCAATGTGTCTAACTTCAGTTTCCAATCCGAGGTTTTTCTTCTGCCAGAAGAAGCAGTTTTCAACTATCAGAAATCTGTTCCCTGCAAAGTCTTCTCTCCACCTGTTCTTCAATTATCTATTTGGATTGAACTTCACTGATATATTTTTTGCTCCACCTTTCCATATTCCTTACTAAATTCTTCTTCTATATCTCTTTCATTGAGCAACAACATCAACACAGCAGCCAAAGTGACACTTATGTGTGCCTTCTAGTGATAGACTCAAGGAACACAATCCATTCAGTGTAACACAGAGATGTTTTAGAGATAACTTGGTTGCATGTCAGTAATACCTATATGAGTAGCAAATGGACTCTTCTATCTAACAGATAGATTCAAACATGCCCCACTGAATGGTGGTTGAAACAAGATGAATTCACACTGCTCATAAGGAGCACCTTTAACATTGAAGCTAATCAACATTTTACCAGGGGTTGTGATAGATTCTTCATAACGGACTACTTTTAAATTAAAATTGGATTTTTTTCTAAAAGTTCTGCTGTAGGAGTTTTTTCTGTGAAGTTTTTGGCCAGTGTTTGGCCAGTTTTCTCTGTGAAGTTTCAGCGTAGAAGATCAAAATGGTCACATCTTGTCCATGAAATTGTGAGCCATGGAACATCAAAGATTAGAAATAGGTATGCAGTCATACAGATCTCACCTTTTCAAACTGGCTGCAGTAGAGATGCGGTAATTAGAAATTAAATAAAGACCTCTATCTCATTCTCTGAATTATTGTCAGTCTCCGTTGCTCTATCTAGCATGTTGCCTCTGCCCATCTCGTAAATAAACTTTGCCTGCATCCATTCTATAAATATAGTTTTGAAAGTGGTATGATTTCATCTGAGCTCTGCCAATACCAGTGGGAAATTACAAATGCAAAAGGTCTCCTAGGACCTGTTGACCTTTGTAAACAAATTCAGTAGAAAAATGGTCATCTTCTTTATGGATTACATTTTAAAAAAAAACTAAAGAAGTTAGGTGCAAACCTCCCATGGAATTCAGGTGCTCAAATCCCATAGGAAACTTTGAAAAATTCTACTCTGTCATTTTAAAACAGATGTGGGTGATTCATTCAGCTTTTTTGAATTTCCCACATTTTGATTTTTTATTATCCCCCCCCCACTTCTCCCTCCCCGGATGAAAGTTTGGAAGGGTGCTCTGAAAACACACTGGACCATACTTCCCTTTAACAGTCACCTATTCTTTATCCATTGTGCAAGCACAATGCATTTTTAAACAAAGAGACTGTAGGAGTTGTAGCAAATGAGTGTGTGTGAGGGTAGCTGTGTGAGTGAAGGTGTTCAGTGACCTTGCAACTGAAAAAAAATTTGATGTTGAAACAAACAATTTACTTTTGTGAAAGAAAAAGTAAAAACAAACAAAGAAAACTCCCCAAACTCTTCTTGGATCAAATTAACCCCTGAAATACATTGCTTCAAATTATACTATTTTAGAATGTTTCTAGGTACTCCACTTGAGAAGCAACAATCAGATTCACACACACTGAATGGGAAATGACTCACAAGTAAAGGACCACAAGCCAAATATGAGCCAGCAATGTGACATGGCAAACATGATTCTGGGATGCATTAAGAAGAGTGTTGTGAGCAAGACATGAGAAGTCATTCTTCTGCTCTTCTCTGCATTGATTAGGCCTCAATTAGAGTATTGTGTCCAGTTCTGGGCACCACATTTCAGAAAAGATGTGGAGAAATTGGAGATGGTCCAGAGAAGAGCAATAAGAATGATGAAAGGTCTTCTAGAGAACATGAGCTATGAGGGAAGACTGAAAGAATTGGGCTTATTTAGTTTGGAAAGGAGAAGACTGAGGGGGAACATGATGGCAGTTTTCAGGTATCTAGAAGGGCGTCACAAGGAGGAAGGAGAAAAATTGTTCTCCTTGGCCTCTGAGGATAGGACAAGAAGCAATGGGCTGAAGCTGCAGCAAGGGAGGTTTAAGTTGGAGATTAGGAAAAATTTCCTAACTGTCAGGATGGTTAAACACTAGAATAAGTTGCCTAGAGAGGTTGTGGAATCCCCATCACTGGAGATATTTAAGAGCAGGTTAGATAGACACGTGTCAGGGACTGTCTAGACAGTACTGGGTCCTGCTGTGAGGGCCGGGGACTGGACTCAGATGACCTCTGGAGGTCCCTTCCAGTGCTAGAGTTCTATGAAGAAGGGGTTGGTGCGAGGACAGTGGAGCAGCCTGGGACAAGACTCTCCCAACATGCAAACTGGTGTTTAATTAGGAACTGAACTATTTTCCGCATGGGGGGAAGCGAAAGAGACAATTAGCCAAGGCACATGGAAGGCAAGTGCCTCTGTGCAAGTCCCACTGGGCATTGTTAGCTCCAAAGCTCTGGAGACAAAACCAGTCAGCGGGGGAAAGGCTGGCGCTGGGCAGTCATGAAAAGTGTGAAGACATCAGAGGATACAGACTTCAGGACACGCTGAGTGGGGTCCCAGTGGGCCAGGCTGGGATTGCTCTGCTGGGGCAAATGGCAACGAAGGGGGCAGACAGTCCCCCAAACTGTCAGTCTGATATTTGGATTGTTCAAACTGGGGAGCAAAAAGCTTCTGCAGGACTTTGCTGGTGCCCAGAAGCCAGAAACACAGTTCCCTTAAATCAGTGGTCACCAGTCAGCAGATCAGGATCTGCCAGTAGATCTTGGAGCCTGTGACAGGGATCCTGACTGGTTTGGCTGGGATCCTATCCAGTGATGGTGCTGAAATTGCTTCCCCATCCACTGTCATGCTGCTCCTGCCCTCTGCCTTGGAGCTGCCCCTGGGAGCCTCCTGCTTGCTGGGCAGGGTGTGGGAGGGGGAAGAGGAGAGGAGCTGATGTGAGAGTGTCCCTCCCGCCCTCCATGTGGGTACAGGAGAAGGGGATGGAGGGCTTGGCAATGCAAATCTCTGCCACATTCACACAGTGTGTGTGTGTCTGTCATCCTCTCTCTCTCTCTCTCTCTCTCTCACACACACACACACACACACACACACACAGTGCTTTCCTCTCATCTCGCATCTCCTGTCCCATCATGTACAGGAGGGGGGGTTACCACGTTTACTGCTTGCAAAGTGGGTTAGTTTTGGGTTTTGACTGGTCTGTGCATGACATGACTTTCATTTCTGCTGTACATTAACTGAGTTAACTGAGTGAGGAGTGAGTTCTAAAATGCCAAACCTGGCATGTCTGGAGTCGTTATCCCTGTGGAAACTGCTGCTCATGGATGTGGTCAGCATGCCCGAGAGGCGGAGCAGGGAGTCCCCACACGCTGTCCTTGTCCTTGCCGTCGCCTGCATACACGGCTCCTGCAGCTCCCATTGATCAATATCCGGGAGCTGTGGCATCAGAGTCTGTAGATGAGGGGCAGCACCTCAAACCGTGGCGGAGGTTTTGAAGAGGGCTGTGGGACTAGGGCAGGAATGAGTCTGCCTTGGCTCTGCTGCTCCATCCCTGGGGCAGCTGTCCACAGACACTCTCAGGCTATGTCTACATGCTCTCTTGTGCAGGAAGCCCTCTCCTACCACACTTTACTGTAAATGTTCTTGGTGCAAGAGCAGGCAGGCAGTGTGGACACACTGCAGAAGAACCCAGCAGTGTAGACAGAGCCCCAGAGTGGGTGGAGATCAGGCAACCAGTCTTATGCTCCCCAGGTGAATGCTCTAGCCCATACCAGAGCCAAGCTCACCCCACCACCCCAATTTCAAGGGATCCCTTATCCTGTCTTCCTAATGCAGGGGACAGCTCAATCCTTGGAGCAGCTTGTGTTGGCTCCCCAGCTACTCCCCGGCTGGACAGGACCTGACCCCACCACCCTGTGCTGACCAGGCAAATGCCCTGTACTCCAAGCCACTCCCAAACCTACCCTGGCTGCCTACTTTCAGAGGGTCCTATATCAGCCATCTGGTCACTCTCAGGGTGGGCGTTTGCAGGGGTGGGACTCAAGCCCCCAACCCTGTGTTCCCCAGGGAAATGCCAGATACCCCAGGCCCCTCCAGAACCCAACCCACCTACTTCTCTTCAGAGAGTCTCTAACCCTGCTTTCCAAATGCAGGAGCTAGCTTTGTCCCTAGCTATCTTGTCCCTCCCAGGGTGGGTGAGCCTTGGACCCATCACCCTAAACCAGCCCCAACCAAATGACCGATCCCCTAGGGCACTCCAGAGAGCCCTCCCCACGTTCCTCCCTTCAGGGTGTCCCCTCCCACACTCTGAACCCCTTGGCCCAAGACCAGAGCCTACACGCCAACCCCTACCCCAGCCTAGTGAAAGTGAATGAGATTCAGGGATGAAGGGGGATGGATTTTACAGGATGAGGCCTTGGGGAAGGGTTGGTGCAGGAGCAGGGCCTCAAGGAAGCGGGGGAAGAAAGTCAGGCCAGGGTATTTGGGTTTGACGTAGATCTCACATTGCACTTCAATTGAAACTGTGATTTTAAACTGGTTGGAGAGCCCTGCCTTAAAGCAACCCAGCCTGGGGCTCCCACCTAAGGATGTTAAGTTGCGGTTAATTTACTAGTCGAGTAGTTGATGGAATTTCCAGCGACTACTCGATAGGCACGTTGGCATTCCTCCTTTGAAATGAACAAGAGCCCCCACTGGGAACTCTGCTTACAGCCTGGGACCAGTGGGAAGCCCCATTGACTACAGGCTGCATGTGGGTGCCAGCTTTGAAATGTACGCGAGTCCCCAGCAGGAGCTCTTCTGTACCTCAAAGTGGAAACGACATCATGGAGCCATTTCAGCCAGGCTCAGCTGTGTGGCACTGCCCTTTGAAGTATCCCCTCCTCTCCCCCCTTTGCTGCCTCTATCTGATATCTCATAGAGCCAGCAAGGGGATGGGGGTGAATCAACAATCGGACAGGTCTGTAACATCCTTACTCCCACCCAGATGTCCAAATCATGTACAATGAGAATTAATGAGACTCTTGATCATCATATAAAAAGCTTCACCAGCCCCTAAAGACCGGGCACATCACCCACCAGGTCAATGATTATTTCAGCCGTTAACCCAATACAGATTCACAGACAATTCCTATTAACTGAAGGGAGATTTATCTAAAGAGAACAGAGTGAGAGTACTGGTTAAAAGATCATTAGACACACTAGGAACAACCAGCCAGAGTCAGACCAAAGGTCCATCTACCCCCGTGTCCTGTCTGCTGACAGTGACCACTGACAGATGTCACAGAGGGAGTGAATAGAACAAGGAATCAAGTGATCCCTCTCCTGCCATCCATGTCCAGGCTCTGACAAATAGAGGCTAGGGACACCATCACTGCCCATTCTGTCTAACAGCCAATGATGGACCCATCCTCCATTCATTTATGTAGCTCTTTTTTTTTTTTGGAACCCTGTTAAAGTGCTGAGCTTCACAACATCCTCTGGCAAGGAGTTCCACAGGTTGACTGTGCGCTGTGTGAAGAAAAACTTCTCTTTGCTTGTTTTAAACCTGCTGCCTGTTAATTTCATTTGATGACCCCTAGTTCAGGTTCAAAACGTTCATTGGGAGTTAGTTCCCCGGGTTACAGCCCAGTGTCCAATACCAGGGTGAGAGAACAGGAGCTGCAGACTCGGTCCGGCGGCTCCAGCTTCCCCACAAGAAGCTTCTGCAGAGCTGGGAGAACAGGAGCAGGGCCCCAGGTTTCTTTTCTCACTTCTCAGGCGGGCTCTTGACCCCAGCCCCCCTCGGGCGCGGTGCTGCGGCGTGGCAGGAAAAACTCCCCTTTCCTACAGATCACAGGCAGCTAGTTGCATTCATCAGCCCGGGACAATTGACCATTCAGCAGCCGAGTTGCCAATTAACTGCAAAGCGACCCATGGACACTGACACTGTCACAGCCAAGTCCTGCCCGGTCACAGCCCCTTGGGGCCTCGGAACCTATAGAATAGAGCAGGGACAGAAACCACCTGGGCACAGCACTGACCTCCAGTGGGGTCCAGGGACCCCCAGAGCAGCACAGTCACTAGTGAGCAACCAGCCGGCCTGTCAAGCGCTGCTGTGTCGAACGTGGCTCCATTCGCCATGTGTGTTGACAGGCTCCAATAACCATTTATACCCTGTTCTCATCTGCCTTTAGTGGCTGAATGTGGGTGATGTAGCCCAGACGTTTCCTGTCCCTTCCCAGCTCAGTATCAGCGTCTGTGGGGAACATTTTCACACACACTTCAGTGAATCTCGAAGGTGTCTGATGAGTCGGTTGAATTTCAGCGAGGCAGAGACTGCTCAGCCCTAGCAATGAAGCCCCTTTGAAAATGGGATCCAAGCTCCCCAGTCACTTAGGTGCTCATTAAAATGACACCTGAACTGAACTGTTACAGACGCTGACAGGACAGGGACCTGGCTGTTCCTTTCCAAGGGCAGCAGGAGATTTGTTTCCAGACGGGGCAAGCTCAGCCAACCATGCTGAGATTGTCAAACCCGCTTAAGGGAATTGGAGGAGAACTTTGTGCCTAAACCACTTAGGCAGCTCTGACAAACTCAGCCACACAGCGTGTTCCTAGAACCGCTGAGTTATTTCTTGAGAGCCAGCGCAGCCTTCGCCCGCCACAGAGGGATTTGCTTTAGAGCTCAAAGTTTCTCCCTTCTCCGGGACTTCACCTTTGAGACTAGAAGTTTGCCCCTGCCGGTATCATCCAGAAACAGACCAAACACCAACCTCCCTCCCCGGTGACGTTCCCCGTGGGACTGGCACCTGGGGAGGCGGCCCCTGCCCGCACCAGGCTATACAGCGCAGCGGAGAAGATTTTCCACAATTGGCGCAGGGCTGAGGCGTGGGGCGCGTCACCAGACAGGGCGAAGGAGCCTCGGTCGCTGCTCTGGGCTCCGACGTTCCATTGACCGGACCCGGGGCGCAGGGGAACGCGCCGGGCAGAGCAGATGGGCGGAGGAACCTGCCTCTGGCCCTGAGACGCTGCGTGCGGAGGTGGGAGCCGGGATCCCGTTGCTGCCTGACCTGCCTTGGAGGTAAATCAGCCGTTTCCTCCCTGCTCCCAACGCGCCGGGCAGAGCAGATGGACGGAGGAACCTGCTTCTGGCCCTGAGACGCTGCGTGCGAAAGTGAGATCCGGGATCCCGTTGCTGCCCGACCTGCCTTGGAGGTAAATCAGCCGTTTCCTCCCGGCTTCCTGCCGCTCCAGGGTTGTGGAGCAACGTGGGTTTGGTAGGACACTAGCGGAGGCGGGGTGGATGGGGCTATGGGCGCTGGTCTCTAACAGTTCCCCGCCCCCAAAGGCGAGGATTTCAGATCACCAAAGAGCTTTCAGCTCACAATTTCCCTCGCTCCCATCACCCTGGTATCTGGGCTCCGCACTCTCTGGAACGTGTCTCTCCTGCCCCATCCCCCTGAGGTGCTACGAGACCAGTTTGGCAGATGGGCACACGGCGTGTAGAGGGACCGATCTCTGGAGGAGTTTGGGCAGCTACTGGTGTGAAATCAATGGGTGCATGGTATCTCCCCCACTCTGGCATTGAGCCCCATTCTCAGACAGTGATGGAGCCTTGATAATGGGCCCAGTGAATCCTAGAGAGAGCTGGGAGCAAAACTGGGACGGGATTCATAGAATCATAGGAGACTAAAAATGAAAGGGACCTAGAGAGGTCATCGAATCCAGTCCCCTGCCCTCATGGCAGGACCCAGTACCGTCTAGACCACCCCTGAGAGACATTTATCTAACCTGCTCTTAAAGAACCCCAAAGATGGAGATTCCACAACCTTCCTAGGCAAGATACTGCAGTGTTTAAGCACCTTGATAGTTAGGGAGTTTTTCCTAATGTCCAACCTAAACCTCCCTTGTCCAGTTTAAGCCTGTTCTTCTTGTCCTATCCTCACAGACCAAGGAGAAATTTTTTTCTCCCTCCTCCCTGTGAAATCCTTTTGGATAGCTGAAAACTGCTCTCATGACCCCTCTCGGTCTTCACCTGTCCAAGCTAAAGAAGCCCAATTCTTTCAGTCTTCCCTCATAGCTCCTGTTCTCTAGACCTTTCATCATTCTTGTTGCTCTTCTCTTGACCCTCTCCAATTTCTTCACATCTTTCTTGAAATGTGGTGCCCAGAACTGGACACAATTCTCCAACTGAGGCCTCACCAGCGCAGAGTAGAGCAGAAGAATGATCTCTCTGTCTTGCTTGCAACACTCCTGTTAAATGACTCCCAGAATCATGTTTGCTTTTTCTGCAACAGCATCACACTGTTGACTCATATTTATCTTGTGGTCCACTATGACCCCTAGATGGCTTTTTGCAGGTCTCCTTCCTAGACAGTCGTTTCCCATTCTGAATCTGTGAAATGGATTATTTCATCCCAAGTGGAATACATTTCATTTGTCCTTATTAAACTTCATCCTATTTACCTCAGACCATTTCTCCAGTTCATCCAAATCATTTTCAATTATGACCCTATCCTCCAAAGCAGTTGCAACCCCTCCCAGTTTCATAGCATCCGGCTGGCGGCTCCCCGCTTATGCTAATGAAGCCCGGGAAATTCAAATCCCGGGCTTCATTAGCAAGTGCGGTATGCATACATTACCCCGCTAGTTCGAACTAGCGGGGTAGTGTAGACATACCCTCGGTCTTCACCTGTCCAAGCTAAAGAAGCCCAATTCTTTCAGTCTTCCCTCATAGCTCATGTTCTCTAGACCTTTCATCACTCTTGTTGCTCTTCTCTTGACCCTCTCCAATTTCTTCACATCTTTCTTGAAATGTGGTGCCCAGAACTGGACACAATTCTCCAACTGAGGCCTCACCAGCGCAGAGTAGAGCAGAAGAATGATCTCTCTGTCTTGCTTGCAACACTCCTGTTAATACCTCCCAGAATCATGTTTGCTTTTTCTGCAACAGCATCACACTGTTGACTCATATTTAGCTTGTGGTCCACTATGACCCCTAGATGGCTTTTTGCAGGCCTCCTTCCTAGACAGTCGTTTCCCATTCTGAATCTGTGAAATGGATTATTTCATCCCAAGTGGAATACATTTCATTTGTCCTTATTAAACTTCATCCTATTTACCTCAGACCATTTCTCCAGTTCATCCAAATCATTTTGAATTATGACCCTATCCTCCAAAGCAGTTGCAACCCCTCCCAGTTTCATAGCATCCGGCGGGGAGGTAAAACACTGACAAGAGAAATGCCAGCCCCTGACCCACGCAGCCTCCCTCCTTGCCCCTCCCAAGGAGGACCAAAGGGGTGGGACACAGACCCTGACTCACCCTCCCCCCCAATGGAACATGATTTCTAGGAGGTGCCATCGGGGTGTGCACGGTGGGTGTCTCTGTGTCTGTGGAGGAGAAGGGTGGAGTGGGAAGGGGGTTGGTAATGGGGTGTGACATAGTGGGGGTACCCAGCTGGTTTCTATGCTGCTGGCTCTGGGGTAACCCCCACTGGCTGGCGTGGGGACCACGACCCCGCAAAACAGGGTGAGTTCTTGACCCTCTCCAATTTCTTCACATCTTTCTTGAAATGTGGTGCCCAGAACTGGACACAATTCTCCAACTGAGGCCTCACCAGCGCAGAGTAGAGCAGAAGAATGATCTCTCGTGTCTTGCTTGCAACACTCCTGTTAATGACTCCCAGAATCATGTTTGCTTTTTCTGCAACAGCATCACACTGTTGACTCATATTTAGCTTGTGGTCCACTATGACCCCTACATGGCTTTTTGCAGGCCTCCTTCCTAGACAGTCGTTTCCCATTCTGAATCTGTGAAATGGATTATTTCATCCCAAGTGGAATACATTTCATTTGTCCTTATTAAACTTCATCCTATTTACCTCAGACCATTTCTCCAGTTCATCCAAATCATTTTCAATTATGACCCTATCCTCCACAGCAGTTGCAACCCCTCCCAGTTTCATAGCATCCGGCGGGGAGGTAAAACACTGACAAGAGAAATGCCAGCCCCTGACCCACGCAGCCTCCCTCCTTGCCCCTCCCAAGGGGGACCAAAGGGGTGGGACACAGACCCTGACTCACTCCCTCCCCCCCAATGGAACATGATTTCTAGGAGGTGCCATCGGGGTGTGCATGGTGGGTGTCTCTGTGTCTGTGGAGGAGAAGGGTGGAGTGCGAAGGGGGTTGGTAATGGGGGAATGGGGCACTGGAAATAGGGGAATGAGGAACAGAGACCCAGGCAGGGCTCTGCATGATTGGAGCCTGGGTACAGAGCAGAGGGACAGGGGAGCCCATTGGTGTGTGTGTCTGGGGGTTACAAGAAGGGGTCTGTTGGGTGAATAGCTGTAGTTGGGGAGAGGGAAACTGTTGGCCCACAGAGATGCACCCGACAGGTGGGCATGGCGTGGGAATCCACCTGCTTGGACACTGGCCCCCACTATCTGCACTTCAGACTGTGCCCTGCTGCTTTCTGCCTAAAGGGGCAGAACCAGGGTGAAGGGAAGCCCCTCACACCAGCCCTTATGGGTCCCAGGACCGCTTGCTTGGTTTATTTCTCTGCTGGAGCGTCCTGTGAAATATCCCCTCCTGGCTGATCTCCCCAGTGGAACGGCCCCTCCCTCATTCAGCTTTTAGCCACCAGGCAGTGATGGGAGTGACTGTCTGATCTGGAGTCTGGCACATCTGTCAGGGGGTCTGTATTCCCTGTCTGAGCCCAAGGCCACAGGATTTGAGTGCCTGGTGCCAGCTTTCAAGACGCTCCACAGGGTGCAGAGACACGGTCTGTTTCACCTGGGCTCTGCTCAGAAATCGAGAGACGGCGATTCCCTTCCCCACCCTCCATTCCCCACTTGGCTGCTGTGCCAGGGCTGGCAGCGGGAGGCAATGAAGACAAGGCTGCCATATTACAATGAATGTTAGTTACTGCTCACAGTGTCCCTCTTTGTGCCCCACAGACACACCCCATGGCAAGCCAGGGACAAGGGAACCAAACATCCATCACAGAATTCATCCTCCTGGGATTCGGGGAGCTTCCTGGCCTGCAGGTTCCTCTCTTCCTGCTCTTTATCATGATCTACCTGATGACCATGGCCGGGAACATCCTCATCCTGGCGCTGGTTGTGGCCGATCGGCACCTTCACACCCCCATGTACTTCTTCCTGGGCAACTTGTCCTGCTTGGAGATCTGCTACAGCTCCACCCTCCTGCCTCAGCTTCTGGCCGGGCTCCTGACTGGGGCCTGGACAATTTCCTTCACTGGGTGTCTCACACAATATTACTTCTTCGGTGCTCTGCTGGTCACAGAATGCCTCCTCCTATCGGTGATGTCCTACGACAGGTATCTAGCCATATGCAACCCACTGCACTACGCAGCCCAGATGAGTGGCAGGTCTTGTCTCCAGCTTGCCGGGGGGTCATGGACAGGTGGATTCCTTGCTTGTAGTATAACAGCATTGCCATTGTCCCAGTTAACCTTCTGTGGCCCCAACACTATCGACCATTTCCTTTGTGACTTTATTCCCCTTGTAAAACTCTCCTGCAATGACCCTCTGCTGATGGACACGTTGGCGTTCTCAGCTTGCTTGGTTTTAATACTGGTCCCCTTCCTGCTCACCTCGGTGTCCTACATCTGCATCATCAGCACCATCCTCAGAATCCCCTCCACGACCGGGAGGCAAAAGGCCTTTTCCACCTGCTCCTCCCACCTCATCGTGGTGAGTGTTTACTATGGAGCGCTCCTGATTGCCTACATGTTCCCGACCACCGACCTAGAACCCCCCCCTCCACCGGGAGGCAAAAGGCCTTTTCCACCTGCTCCTCCCACCTCATCGTGGTGAGTGTTTACTATGGAGCGCTCCTGATTGCCTACATGTTCCCGACCACCGACCTCCCGAGCAATTTCAAGAAAGTTCTTTCAGTCTCCTACACCGTCCTGATGCCCCTGGTCAACCCACTCATCTACGCCCTGAGAAACAGGGAGGTCCAGGAGGCCCTGTGCAAAACTTGCAGGAAATTAAGGTTTCCAAGATACTGGCCCATTGGGTTGCTTAGGTGACAATGGAATAGCTGCAGCATGGGCGGGGTTAGGGCCAGTATCAAAGCCGACCAAATAGAAGGTTTTATTTCCACTCCCATCTGTGACCTTCTTGCCCTGCACTTGTAGAGTCACAGTCTAGTGAGCAACGGGGGTGCAGGGACCTTTTCCAAACCCTTGCTCCGTTATAGTTAGGACCAATGGCCAATGCTACTGGGGAGGTACCAGCAGGCTGCAAGGGACATGAACTGGTGGCTCTGTGAAATGAAAAGAGCTGGAGAGATTGAGCCCAGAGAGAGGTGCAGGTGTCGGTCGCATGCTCTGTGCCTTGGGCCAGCTCTGCACCGAGAGCCAGCAGGGAGCATGTGACCGGTCCAATAAGACACTGACCAGGGGTAGCCAACCCGTTTGAGACGAAGAGCCACAATAGCAGTGGAGACAGTGTGAAGAGCGGGGACAAAGTTGTTGAGAAAAAAACAAACCACCACCACCACGCGGCGGGGGGGAATAGATGTTGGTACTTCCATCCCAGGGCACGGCTTCTCTCTCTTTTTTTTGGTTAACAACTTTTCCTCGGGGCCTTTTTTTGAGTGGAGGCGGGG